ATTATGAAGCTAATAAAATGTGTATGCAATAAATTTGACTTTTGAACATTCATATTAATTATTGTTTTCATTCTGATATTTTTATTGTATAGCATATGATCAGTAGAGGAGAGGTGGAGAAAGTACAAGGCTCCCGGAAGGTTTTGTTTTGGAGTCATTCTCATGGTCTTTCTGAACACGTAGAGAAATACCAAGAAGTAAGGGTATTGAAGAGGAAACAACATTGTTACTAATAAGTTTTATCTCTCTATGATGAAATATAGAAAATGAAATTACCAACATCACTGCCAAAACTACAAAATTTATTTTATTCAGCTAATAGTAGGCTGATGTTAAAAATCTTGGTGTTCAAAATGTGAAGATAATAAATTTAAAAAGACAAGTGAAAATTTAACTGAGAAGAAGGCATTTATATATGTGAGAAGTAAAAGATTATAACTGATGCACTCTTTTAAGGTAGCATATATTAAGTACTGTTACAGACCAGGCACACTGCTAAAACACTGTACATTTACACAGGTCAATATGAGGCATCCATTTTTCACTGGCTTTGGTAAAACTGTTTTCACTTCACATTTTGAATTGGGGCGAAGGTGGCAAATCTTAATTTAATTGAGGTGAAAGTTGAAAGACAGCAAGAGACTGTCACATCTAGCAATGGGCAAGTCACAGGCTCAGCGGACAGATAATTTGAAACAATGCTTGTCGATAATGCTCAGGCTGCCCTTCACATTGAGGTTGTTAAGAGTCAGTGTTTCAGAGGGCAGTGCTGTGGTGGTCACTACAGAAAGGCCATTCACACCACTGAAGTCACACTCAAAAACAGCCCACAGCACAGAGGAAACCGTTATTGGGATTCTTCTCATTTTGCCCTAAGAAAGCATGTCTCAGAGACTCATCTCAGACACCTTTCTGACGCAGTGAATTACTACCCAGCGATTTCTCAATCAGCTCTTGAGATTTTGTGGGCAGATTCCATCTAGCTGGGGAGGAGCCAAGAGCTGGTTGTCACTAAATCGGTGTTACCTCTTTCGTGGACACACTTGAGTATCCTTGCTCAGAACAATGGATCACCGGCCCACCTGGTCTGTTTAGGGAGCTAATTTATGCTGGCTCCTGTAAATCCTCCACTGAGATACCCTTAACTCACTGCATGCCATCTTCCTGTTCTGGGACTGTAAGGTTTTCACTTCTCCAACTCATTTCCAGTCAAGTTGTTACTGTGGCACTTTTGTCTTCAGGCCACTAAGAAGTGTTCTGTGGTATTAAAAGAAGCGAGGTAACTTGGACTCTAGTTCTATTTAGACATTGTGATGTACCTTAAAAGTCTTTAAAGTAGTTCTGGATTTTTAAAAATGCTCTTTGGTGTAAGGATTTTAATTTCTGGTCATTACACAAGAATTCCTGATTTTAAATGTCTTCCTTAATGGACTCGTTGGGAAGAGTTTCAATTTGTTACTTTAATGTTTGTATTTTCATTCATCCTTAGTATTTGTGGTGGAAAGGCTAGAAGAACAGGAACCAAAAGTGTGTTAACACTTTTTTAAAGGAAAAAGCAGGATCATACTGCTTTTCTGTGCCTGTTGCAACATAGATTACCTGTTCTGTGTTGCGTGACACCACCTTGCTGTGTATGCCTATTGAGATCATTTGTGAGAATGTTTCTGAAATAATGATAAATGACCCGAGTTCAGAGGCAAATGTATGTATTTCCACTTAGTCTCAACTATTTTAAATAGATCTTTTAAGACCTCGAGCTGAACACAGACCCAGGTTTCATAAAAACAATCAAATGTAGTGTTTTATTTTGGGGTGGTTCATTCATTGATATTTAAGAAATGGGCCATGTAAAGCTATGGTTTTCCCCAAGGAAAGATTGCTGGAAAGGAAAGTTTCAGCATTACATTATTTTGAATTATTGTTTAGGAATGTTTAGACCGTGTCTCTCTGAGAGGAGTTCTTCAGATCCTATGTTCTGGACTCCCTCCCCCCAAATTCAAGTTCTAGTTCTGCTTTCCACAAAGGCAGCAGTAGCAATGGTACCTACACAGGAAGTCATCTTGAAGCATGAGTGAGGTAGTACACGTCAACCTCTCCGAACTGTGACTGCTGTCACACGGTGAGCTTCTGGGATATGACAGCCATTACTTTTGAACTGAAGTAAAAAGCCCTGGGAACGTGAAAATAAAATGAAGAGGGCACTGCTCCCCCCCAACCTGAAACCTCCACTTTCTCACGGGGTCTGAAATTGTACTCCGGCAGGCCCATTAACAATGATTGTAGTGGCAGCTCTCAATCATTTGCATACCTGAATTTAAAAAAAATGGAAATGGAACTCCTTCCAACTTCCAATGGCGTTAAGAATGGCAGAGGGAGGGAGGGAGGTCGATGAAAGGAAGGGGCGGTAGTGGCCATGCAGGGTCTGTGACATCAGGTGCGGGGGTGGGACCAGGGCTCACGGAGAGCCACCGAAATCCCGAGTCAGGAACTTCGGGGAGCATGCCAGAGAAAAGATGGTTGAATATAAAATACATCTGCTCCAGCTTCATTGAACTCTTATCACGATGCAAAAGAGCTGTCAGTGCTCATTCTTAAGGACCTACCGAGTGTCAGGGAAGAAGGGAGAAAATGCAAAGGTGAGATCTTTATACTTTAACTACAACCTAGTGAAGGAGTGTCAAACTCTTTTTCACCAGGGGCCACATCAGCCTCGCGGTTGCCGTCAAAGGGCCGAATGTAATTTTAGGACTGTGTACATGTAACTACTCCTTCACAGTTAAATGAGAGCTCGGAGCTGCCGCCAGGTAGAAACAAGGTGTTGGGCCAGATAAAACAAGGTGGAGGGCCAGATTTGGCCCACGGGCCTTGTGTTTGCCACCTGTGGCCTGGTGGGAAATGGACCAGTATGTAAGTAAGTATCATACGGCCTGCCTGAGTCTTATTTATCAAGTGCCACGGGGACGTGGGGTTGCAGCACAGGAAGGAAGTAACTGTAGAGGAAGCAGGGGAGTCACACAGAGGATGTAAGAAAGTACCACTGGGAGAACAGGGAGAGCAGGCAGTTCATGGAGCTAGCTGCCTCTGCAGGGACAGGGCTGGAGAACTGTGGACGGCGCTCGTTAGTCTGATGGTTTGGCTCCGATTATGAAAGCCCGTCTCTGCCCTTTAGAAATCAGGATTGGCTCTTGAACAATGGGAGTCTTCCCAAGAAGACTGGTTGCTTCCCTAGAAAAATTCTCATTAGCACTCTTGTGAATCTTTGTAATCTAATTTTGTTCAGAAAAGAAAATAAAACAAGGTCCCAAATAAATAATATTTTATCACGATTGGATAATAATAGGCTCTGGAAGCTTCCCTTCTTCAGAATCATGCCCAGCCGAGACAAATAAATAAATAAAAGCTTTTGTTGCACTTGAATGTCAACCTTACTAAGTGCTTTATCCACAACAATTAGTGTAAATGGGAAATAAGTGTATCCTTTCACCACTCATTTTACTACTGGCCCCTGTTTATCTTGGCTCGCTTTTTTATGAGTGTTCGCTTTGTCCAGGGCCGAGCATGTTTCTGTAGATGACCAACTTTACTTTAGAGTATGAACTGCTTATAAAGGTCATGGTTGCCGTCACAGACTCATGGTGTTTTAGGAATGGAAGGAGTTCTGAAGTTCACCTGGCCCACGTTTTCACCTAATGCAGGATTGCTTTATACTACACGGTGCGGGCAGCTAGCAGGGCAGGGGGCGGAGGGGCGAGGCGGGAGGGGGGAGCAAACAAGGAAAACCTCTGCTTGCAAATGTGTGGGGCAAGGAGTTAGGAGTTTCTCAAGACAGATCATTTTGTTTTTCATTATCTGTGATTTTTAGGAGGGATTTTCTTCTGACCCACTTTCTTAAGAGTTATAATGGCCATGTCTGCCCTCTGGAGACCAAATGTGTAATTCTGCTTATACCTGGTGACTGTTAAAATAGATCAAGATTGATTGGTATCCCCTCTTTTACTGTCCCCTTTAACACTTAAGAAATAACCTGCAGCTTCTTCAGAGACATGTTAGTGTTTGGACCTCCTTACTCTTTTCTGGAGCTATGCAGCAGCCTGTACATCATTTAAGTGCGAACTTAGCATCAGCTTGCTGTCACTTTATTTGAACTTGGGAAAACTAGAGCAATAGATGTTTCTTTTTACTGAAACGTTACCTCGTACACCTGAAACAAATGGGGTTGGAATATCCATCCATCTGGGCCAGAACGAACCCACTCTTCAGCAGGTGTGTATAGTTTAAAAGAATTTAGTTGGGTAGCATCGGGGCTTAAATTGAGTTAGAGTTGCAATCCTGTTTTCTTCCTAAAATGTTTAAATCACTGCAATAATAAATATTTAAAAAACATATTTTAAGCATTTTGGACACCATTTAGTAATAACTCAGTCTCAAACTCAGTTCAGGGTCAAAAACTGTGGGTTGAGGTTTGAACTTCAGTTTTCTTCCGATTTTGCCTATCACTCTGACACTTCTGCGCATGTATTTTTCTGCAACTCAATGAAAAGCCAACAAAATGGAAATGCTCATCTCCCCACAGTCCCTTGGCTGAAAATTTAAGTTCTTTGAGACAGTGTATGAAATATTCTACGGTGCCACTCGCTGTGATATTTCTGCTCTGTGTGGAGCTCTCCTCTCACCTAGACACCGGAATCTGAGTCATGAAACCCTTTTCCATTGTGCCTGTTCTGGTTGACTGCCGTTGCACCGGATGTGTGTTGGGCCCCAGCAGTCATCCCCTGAGTAAGCGTGATGGAAAATTGCTGTAGAGTCCTGTAACAAAAGGTGTAACCAACTTTTGGTTTGCAATGCTTGAATTCTCTTGAATGGCATTTCTTTCTTTCCTGAAACACAGGATGAGGCATGACACCACCTATCAAATCACAGGCTCATTGTTGGGTATTTTCTATGTAACATACGCTTTGTTTTTTCATTCATTCATTCTTTTTTTTTTTCTTTCTCAAAAGGCGTTTAAACAGAAATCACCTTCAGCTGTTTCCTGAGTTGCTGTTTCTTGGGACTTCGAAGCTCTACAGGCTGTAAGTAGACTCAAGTAGTTATTGTTGCTTTGGGTAGTACCTTGTGTTGTGCTAAATGTACTTCGGGTTTGTTTCAGTGTGCTTTCTTGGACTTTATTCATCACTGAAGTAACGAGTTAAGAGTACGCCTTTGTTTTTAATGGAAATTTATGGTTGGTTTTCCGGTGATTCCAGTTGTTTTATTTGCTGAGCGCTTACTGGTTTGTGTATGTGTTACTGTGATTGTGTTATTCCGCTTTGGTCGCGTGTTGTTGGGGAGGTTTATCTCACTTCTTTGTGAATTCTTGTGATTAAGTTCTGAAGAGGAAAAAGGCCCCTGCACTTCCTCTTCAGAGGACGTTGGCCACGTTTTCTTATAAAGTCGGGGGTTCTTAATGTCTGCTTCTTAAATATTGTTCTTGTACTCGAGTATATTTATTAGTCTGGAAATATTACTAAAGGGTATTTAAAAAGACCTGTAAATTTATTCTTCTACGTTCCTTTGAAGGCCAGGATTCCAAACTCTGCGGTGTGAATGACCGTAAGGGTTTCATAGCAAGTACGTCAGTGCGTCATCGACTATTAATGGAAGTTCTTGGGAAGGAGAGTATTGTGAGTTGTAGGCAGGCTTTTCCTTCCCAGAATGCTTGTTCGCTGACCTAATGTATAATAGTGAAAACACATTTGTCAAAGCTTTTAAAATTAGATTTTCGGCCACGTGAATGATTTTGTGCAGATGGGCGATAAGCTGCAAAGTGTTGGGAAAATAAATGGCAATGATTATTGATGTTCATGGACGTCGTGGAAAAACTGTTGGCCCATGTAGAATAAACTGCTCAGCATGGCCCCCACCTGCATTGTGGGAAGCCCCATAGGGTCGCGTTTGTAGAGGAAGAGAGCAGATTGCCGTCTTCTGAACGTGACTTTGTAGCCAAGTCTCCTCAGCCTATTAGTTCAGTGTTATTGATTCCACGAGTAGGAAGACTGTCCTTCCACAGCCCTGCCCCCATTCTAGTCAGGGTCTCGGTGAGGTCCTCCTGATATACTACTTACTAGACAGAACCTCCCCCGCAGGTAAAGGTGTAGCCAGCTAATACACCTGATCTTCCTCTAGAGTCTGACTTTCCTGTGCCTCTAAGGAAAGCCCAAGTTATCTAGCATTATTTCTCTACGTTGTGTTCCCTGCTGGTTAATTGGCTTGATTTAAGTAAATTTTAAAAAATCAAATAAAGCAACCTGGGGACTTCCTTTTTTAATAATAGTTCTCTTGGAACTAGTTTTAACAAAGACACAGGATGTAATCTGTTATGAAGATTATAGTATATATATGAATTGAAACTTATATTTAAATGTGTGCACTTAGTTTCTAAGAAGGGCCATAGAAATGGGCTTAATAGTGTTCTACTGTCTGCTTTAATTTTTGTTGACTGAGGAGACTCAGGGGAATTGACCTCAAGGCTGGCTAGGATGAGAACTGTTAAACTACTACTTTGCTAATAGGGTGCTTATCAAATAGTCCACAATGTCTCGTGTAGTGTTCATTTTCAATGAAGCTGTGAAAATAAAATTTAAACAGAATGACTGCCATCTAGCATTAAAATTACTAAGCTGAAGAGTTGAAGAAACTTCAGCACTATCTCTGAGAAGTAAGAATGTGTGTTTTTAGAAGTACTTGGATTACTTTTCTTAAGAGTCTTCATTTCGGGTGGTATGACCCAGTTCAGAGTCCTTTACCAGCCAACAATATTCTGCTACCATCTTTTTTAACAATATCACATAGTGGACCAAATGATTTTCTCTTGTGGTGTGTTATAATTTTATAATTTAAGCTGCCCTGTGAATAAAGGACATTTCAAATCTTAAAGAAGTAAATTAAGGAACTAGAGCCCCTAAAACGAGCAGGGGTGTCCAACCTTTTGGCATCTCTGGGCCACACCGAAAGAAGAAAAGTTGTTTGGGGCCACACATTAAATACGTAAACACTAACAAAAACTGGTGAACAACAACAACAACAAAACTTTTAAGTAAATCTATGATTTTGTGTTGGGCCACATTCACTCATAGCCATCCTGGGCCACATGCGTCCCGCGGGCCACGGGTTGGACACCCCTTCAGTTAAGTTCAGCTTCTGTAGTTATTTAAAAACATTTTAAAAACTGGGAGCAAAGTTAGCTCGGAAATGTGTTCAGAGCTGTGATGTTCCTGCTTAGCAGGAAGGTTTCCCCTGGGGAGTATAGACGATGAAGTTTGGTTTGACAGACGGGACTGGTTGTAAGTGGGACACAGAGGCTTTGATGTTCCTGAAGTTAGAGCTTGGTGGTCCAGTGTTTGCTATTGGTTGGGATTCGGCCCCTGACATAGACACTGCACACACTTAGAAACATGGAGGTGCCATTTTTTTCCCCGACAACCTCACCACATCAGGAATCTCCTTTTGAGTTGCTGCTCCGTTCCCTCAGCTGAATTAGATGCAGTGGATTGTTAGCAGTGATCTCTCTCTCTCTCGAGAGGATAACTGATAAGCTACATGTGTCTGCTTTTTTTATGATGGTGACCACTAGTTAAATTAAACAGCCACCATTAAGTATCTTTAGTAAATAAAGAAACAAAGACTTGGGAAGCTGACTTCCTGGTGAGTGTAATTTCCAAGAGGAAGGATGCAAGCTCATGTTTTCTTCAGATGATACAGGTGCCTAGTAGCTCACCCAGAACAAATGTTCTAACAGATGGGAAAAAATGTGCACATTTACATACAAACGTGTTCTTTAAAATGTTCATTTAAAAATGAAGCTTTCACAGAGACAGAACAAAGGATATAGGGTTTTTGACAAATGATGGAAATTACTTGGGGATAGGGCCAGTCTATTGCATGTATGTATGAATTGATCTATAGTTGCCCTAGCATATAATGTAATAAAGGCACACACATCTAGAATTCATAAACACATTTAGAATTTATTTTCTCCTCATAAATCATTGCATAATACTAATTAACATCTATATTTCTTTCTAACTCACTGTAACTTTAACCATTACTTAATACTATCTTACCTGATATAGCACTAATAAAAAAGGATTCTTGTTTCACATAGAGTTCATACACTGATGTTTGATTTTTATTTGTTTAGATTGAAGCTAGTCTGATGTACTAGACATTATAGGGTTGGGCAAAAGTAGTTTCATAATAATAATAAATATGATGAATAATAAATAATAATAATACTAGAAGAAACTTTCACACACTCCCAACTGTAAGCCTACTTTTGCCTACCCTGGTATGCAGATACTTTTTGTGCTTTTGTCGTGAATAATCACCATTTGACTCTTGGCTGGACATGAGATGCCAGGTGAAGGCACACTCAGGCGGTTCTCTGGACTCGCACTGCAATATAAAAAGAAAAGAGGGCACACTGTGTATGAACTACGATTTGCCACGGTCGGTCACTGCGAGCAGCCAAACATGCTTTTCCTTTGCTGTCTGCTCCAGTTTCTCTCTGGACGGGTTGGGAGAGCACTACATGTTCAGGTCAAGATGTTTGCTCAGAAATGGTAGTGCGGTTGCAGCTGTGTTTGTTGGAGCAGGACACTAGTTTAAATAGCATTACCATTTATCCAGTCCATTAACAGAACTCTGTAAAATAATACCAACTCTGCCTAAACTACAGGACAGTGTAATAAAATTACAAGCACTTGTTGACAGATGGAAAGTGTAAGTAGAGGGAAAGGAAAGGGCCCTGGCTGGAGGTTAAAAGAGACAGTACACAGTTTTCTTCGCGTATGTAGATACTCCATTGTTCCCTTTGCTCCTCCTCCAAAACCGAGGTTACATAGTGATTCATCAGTTTAAGAGTGGAGAACATTATTTTCAGAGCAGTCTAGAGCTGGTTAACTGAGAGAGAGTTCAGTGGCTTTGGAAGTGGTCGATTAAGATGAATTGAAATTTGTGAGTAGCAATTATATGTATGTGCAGCATATACAAATCTTCTCAATAAATGTAACCTTAAAGGTGACTTAGCAGAGCGATTCACACTTTTCAGCTTGAGTTTACAACTACTAATCCGAGCTCATTAGAGAGGAATTTCACTGGCAGTACTGCGGTAGAGTATTTGGTTATAAATATTTGCTTTGTGGTTTTCAGTTTATTTCTTTGAGTATTATTATATTTACCCAGGCTTCTAATATAAGCTTAGGTATCCAATGCATGTAGCAAAAACTCATTTTTCATTTGTATCTACTAAAACAAAAAAAAAAACTAACAAAAATAAATACATAGGTCCTGATGGTTTATTTATTTTTTACTTCTTTAAATAAAAGCCTTTTTATTTCTGATTCACAAGAGGCATTTACTATTCCCCAGTGAGCTTTGGAGCCACAAAATTATCGAACATTATAAATAATCATTTTAAATCTAAGGACTCTTTATGGCCCAGCGACTGCTTACCTGAGACAGAGATTTTGACCGCTTAATCTGATTGGTCAGGTCAGTTTATTTGCTGTTATGTAGGATCTCAGATCCTCAAAATTGTTTTTGATAATAATAATTGGGGCCTTTTGAGAGGGAAATTTAACTATTTGTTTTATGAAAGTGAAAGTCAATTTGCAAAGCATAACACACATAGCAGTTAAGCAGTCCATTTTTCTTTTGCCTAGTCCATTGGAAGGAATCTTAGCTTCTGTCTTTTAATTGTTATAAGAATAGCACACATTGCTATTAAAAAGGCTTAGACAATTCAGAGAAAAGAGGAAGTAGAAAACATTAATTATTTCATCACCCAGACATAACCACTAGTACTTAATTATTAATTTAGTTTACTTTTTATATGATTATGTGTATAAATGCTGGTATATATGCCTTATGAAAACATTTTGTTTTATATCCCCAAGGTCTCGTATAAGGCTTGACCTTTAGAAGACTCTCAGTAAGTGTTTGATGTATTGAATTAAATCTCTGTGGGTTCAGTGTTTGTAACTTGAATGTGCAAACAGTAACACTGGGAAGGCATTATGAATAATGGAGGACT